ACCTTCGGGGGAGAGCATTGCAAAACTGGCCCCGGTAATGGTACAAATCTCAACCTGTCGTACAATGGACAGCTTCCCCCCCATCTATGTATATACTCGCATTTTAGACTCTGTTACTAACTGTATATCTGTAGACTTGGTATGTCTTAAATGTCCGGTTAGGATGTATTAGAACGAAATCTAAAATGAAAATTGTAAATAAGCAATCTGTATGTAAAAAACCACCTGTATGTAAATTGTAAATAAGCCATCTGTATGTCAAATATGTCTTAAATGATATGATGAATTGGAAATGGGGGACCCTGATGTAAACAAGACGAAAGTCTTTCTCTGGTCTGCATCCCCTTAACAATTGTATGTTTTGAGCTGTACTGTACCCAATATACAAGCTGTTAATAAACTTTTCAATCAATCAATCAATCAATCCTTGGTCTGCCGTTTTATGAAAGGGGCTCGCAGGCTCCTCCCTGTTTCCAGGTCACTGGTGCCCTTATGGGACTTGACAGTGGTTTTAGATGGGCTCAGTCGACCTCCATTTGAACCCCTGGAAGAAACTGACATGAAACACCTGTCACTGAAGACAGTGTTGTTACTGGCTCTGGCATCTGCCAAGCGAGTCAGTGACATTCATGCGCTCTCTGTACTTCCTTCATGCACTCAGTTTGCCCCGGGGCAAACGAGAGTGTTGCTGAAGCCCAACCCTGCCTTTATACCTAAGGTGGTTGGCTCATGTACCCCCGATCACATTGAGGCATTTCCTCCGCCACTGTGTTGCTCTGAGGAACAGCGGCCGAATTTGCTGTGCCCAGTCCGTGCTTTACGCATCTATATGGACAGGTCAAAAGAGTTTCGATGCAATGACCAACTCTTTGTATCCTGGGCTAACCCTCATAAGGGCAAGCCCGTTACCAGGCAACGGCTCTCCCACTGGATTGTGGAAGCGATTGCTCTGGCTTATACGAGTCAGGGTTTGCAGGCACCAACGGGCCTGCATGCTCATTCTACTCGTGGACTGGCTACATCCTGGGCTTTGTTCAAGGGTGTTTCCATCCAAGACATTTGTGCAGCAGCGAGCTGGTCCTCACCGCTCACTTTTGTCCGCTTTTACAGGCGAGATGTCTCTGCTCCAAGTGTGGCCCGCGCAGTGCTGGGCCCCGTGTTGAGACAGGGTTCTACCTGTTAAGTTCTGGTTGTTTTGGTGATTTTCGAGATAAGCATGTCTAGCAATACGGGAGTTTCAATATCCCATAGTGAGACATCGAACGGAGTGTTATGAATGAGAACTATAGGTTACTTACGTAACCCCCGTTCTCAGAGTAACATGAAGCGAGATGTCTCACCAGACGGCCCTTCTTGCTAAGAGGTGCTTATTTTGAATGACGCTGCAACGTAGCGCAAGCTACTTAAAGGGTGGCTGGATTCCCTGACATAGACGTCAAGATCACCAGCCAATCAGGATTGGCGTAATGAGATTGATGCTTCTGTTTGCATATGCGTTGAGGCGCATCCCATAGTGAGACATCTCACTTCATGTTACTCTGAGAACTGGGGTTACGTAAGTAACCTATAGATTCGTGTACGCTTTCACAAGTTGTCAAAAGTTTCTAATCTCTGAGCTCAATGCCAGCTAACTCTGCCCTTGGTAAAGCAATCAATGTGCTCGCTTGTTCCCTTTGATACGGAAATTACTGCCTCTTTTGTCCCAAAATGCTATTGACAAGCTCAAATATGCTGAACATAGACCATTTATCATAAGTGGAATGAGGAAAGTGTGTTTACCTACTGTGCAAGGACACCATACAAGTATTGCAGATAGTCTGAAGATACTGTATTAGTATTGCAGATGCTGGGTCAACTTTATCAATTTCAACACCTGTCACGCTGGCATCCCGAGGCGTGAGACAACAGCAGCCTTGTTAGTATTGAAATACGAGTCTCTGTAATGAAATGGATATTGCAAAGACGGAAGACAATTTGTCTGGCGCTTACTCAGAAACTACAGATTTTATTATGGAGATTATTCTACATCCTAATTGACACAACGAGGTCAATCAAAAGGTGCCAGATATTTGTTCTGCTGGTTACCAATGGACTCGGATATCATTTCACTCCTTCCTTTGAAACTAAACCTGTTTTTCTAGGTCATAATTGGCTTGTTCTGACTAGATTACATAACCTGCTCTCTAAGGCAGGTGGTAATGATGCATATTAGACATATAAGGAAAGGAACAAATGTTTTTGCACAAATTGTCACGTTGACATCTTTGTTAATGGACCGCCAGCCAATACATCTTACTTGACATCGCAGATATAAGAGGCCTACATTTAATAATGCTTAGAAGAATGATGTATCAGGACCTGTTTCTGGTTTTATAAGACAATATAGTAATTTCCCTTAAAGGAAAACAATAATTAAAGAAAACTATTTATAATATTTATATTGCATAACATAATATCTGATTTGAATAAAACATGGAAGGATGCTTCAACAGTTGCAGAGTTACAAAACAGCTGATTAAGGTGCTAAGAGTACACTGCTGACACTATTATAATACATGCTAAACAATAGAGGCCTTGAACTGTTATTCAATGTTTTAAATATTACTTATTGGTCATTTGGTGGCGGAGGATAAATGATGCATGATAAAACACAAATAGTGTGCTTCATTGCACTAAGAACATAAATGGAGTAGGATCCGCCTGACGGCAAAAAAAGATTGGTTTATTTTATCTACTTCTCTCAACATCTGTTTCCATTTTGCTTCAGTCAGGTTATCTGAGTTTGTGAGTGGGGGTGTCAGGACTTTTTAACTTCATTTTAGCTTGGGCCTAGATAAATCCAAAAGTTTAAGAAAAATATAGAACATGCTGTTAAGAAAAGTGTTTAAATGAAAAGGAAACCTATCCATGGCTTACAATGCACAGCCGTCTAACCAAATGCCACACATAGCTCTTGTGCTATTTGCTTCAACAGGCTCTAAAATGCTTATTTTATAGTAATGTCTTGTCAGTTATGTATAAAGGAATACGTACGTTAACATTGCATAATTGCTGCTTGAAATGTTTGGCATTTGAGGAAAATATGACTTGCTTTCTTGTGAAAAACTGTATCATAAGTTCAATAAAAACTCTTATATCTGTCAAACAAAGACGGGGAAATGTGCATTCTGCATTTGACCCATCCTAGTGTTGGGAGCAGTGGGCTGTCATTATGTACGGCGCCCGTCTTTGTATGCGCTTGATAAAGCTTTATCTATTGAGAGTGGTGTCAGTCGTATCCCCCAACTTTAAAGAAAGAAAACAGAAAGCTAAAGAAATATTTCCAAAAAATGTCTTCCTAATAAGTTATTGTATTAAGAGATGATGGCACTATCTGAGTTTTTTCTATAAATAACAATCACAATTAATTGTAGGTAGACAGTGGAAAGTCTTCATAAGATAAGATAAGGTAGTACTTTATTGATCCCAATTTGGGAAATGTTTGTGTTGCAGCAGCGTAAAAAAGAAATTCACATCTTAAAAGTTCTAAAAGTAACATCCATCTGCCACAGGGTGATTTCTTTTAAACGACAAAAAGGTTAAAAAAGATTGTCACATTTGCACCACATCTTATAAAACTTTAACACTCAGCATCCTTGGATTATTCAGCAAAGAACAACGTTTGACATTCTTGAATTAATACTCCCGACCAGTGTTACAGTAACGCGTTACAAGTAACGCGTTACTGTAACGCCGTACTGACAGTAACTAGTACTCTAGTGCATTACTTTTTAAATTCAGTAACTCAGTTACCGTTACTACATGGTGCGTTACTCCGTTAGTTTTTTTATATAGTCAACAGCCAGGCGAACAGAGATGAGAACTGTACTTAAGTACAGTACTTGAGTAAATGTACTTAGATACTTCCTGTGTCACATGCGGAGACGGGCTGTGGGCGTGTTTGTGTTGTTTACTAACAAGACTATCATGGCGGCGGCGGAGCTCAAGTCTAGTTTCTCCACCTGGAGATATTCTCACTATTTCACTTTTGTCGAGCACAAAGAAAATAACGTTTCTGTTAAATGTAAGTTGTGTCCTGGCGGGTCAAAGATCAAACCAGTAATTCAAATCTCTTAAAACAAATGCAAAAACAACATGCTGGGACGAAGCTAGTAGCTATGACCACAGAGACTCAGCCGACGCCACTCCACCTCCACCTAAGCAACAGCGGCTGGATTTTAACCAAGGGACAGTTAGCCAGGGAAAAGTCGATAAAGCCATTGCACGGTATGTTGTAGAACACATGCAGGCTATTGCTACAGTGGAGTCACCCGCTTTCAGGGAGCTAGTTAGCATGATAGCATGTCCGGGCGGCACACGGCATATGGGAGAAAGAATATACAAAAATGGAAAGCCAGCTAATATCGATGCAATCCAGATTGCATATAATGCATATCAAGTTGATCAACAGATTGTATTATTCTCCAATGCAATAACAGTACTGAAATGAAGGCTATAAGGGCATTAATGGGAGCCCTTTTTGCAAGTAACTAAAACGTTACTTTTCACAGTAACGCATTACTTTTGGGTGTAAGTAATCAGTAAAGTAACTGCGTTACTTTTGAAATGAAGTAACTAGTAATGGTAACTAGTTACTGGTTTTCAGTAACTGGCACAACACTGCTCCCAACACACCTCCTCCTCCACCAAATTCTCATCGATCTCTCCACTTGAATAACAGTTGACATTTAAAATGTGAGGGCAGAGGTGGGAAGAAAGCCTCACAGTGTGAGCTTCTCTAATTTCAATCAAATCAGCTGGAATAAACCCAACCTGCCGCTGAGCCCCTTACAGATCAATGGCCTCTGAGCCTTGATAATCTCTTGAATTGATTGGTTGCCTCATTGATCGTTACTCCTGCATTAACCAATCAAACACCTCTCTAGTAAACAAACACGCCAAATAATGACATCCCCGGAAGTTTGGTCCCGAAGGAGAAACGAGTGATGAAGAAAATATGTAAACTGAAATCGCCTTTAGAAGAGAATATCAAATAGTAAGAGTGCTTAATATTTCACTGACTTGATGAAATATGCATTGTAGCTCAGAATGGAGGGAAAATGCAATGATTTGGATGAATTATGTATGAGAAGGTCCGCTGGCGAAAATGACTGCACTGTTGAATAATCGCCATTTCACTATCACCACAGCACAATGAGATTTTGTTATTACTACGCATCACTCAATTCATTTGGAAAGTGCATACTGTTTGCATTTTGTATTAAGGGCCTCACTTGTATGTGCACAGCATACAGATGCTCACTAATGAACTAAAGCACTGACTGGTGTCGGATGTGTCCTCTGCCTCACTTGATGAGTCTCACTGTGGTTCAGTCCCCGAACAGCAGTCCATTACCCATAAAAGTGAACCATTGTTGAGTGACGCAAATATTTATTAGACTGCTAACAGGGGGGGAAATAAGAGGGTCTGTCGAATTTTCATATTTCACAAATGTCTTCAGCAGTAACACAATTACTTTGCATCACTCCTGCTGTCTTCACACGTTGCTGTGTTTGGATGGATTACCCCTGGCCTGGAAAACAGAAAGAGAGAGATTTGAGTGCACAATCATTTCAATGTAATCTTTACACACACATGAAGGGTGATCTCTGAGTCTGAACATATAAGAATACAGAGATATCGCACTATTATCTCAAAGTAAAAAGTAATTCAGAGGACTATCATTCCAAAATAAATAAGAAACAGACAACACAACATGCCACTATTATAAAAAAATTAAACTGGGATCTAATGTATTCAGGGAAGATTTCCTCACCACTCTCACATCACTTTTTTATTTCAAAAACCAAACCATTTAGTCTCACTAGCTTACAGCAGCTAAACATGTCGTCCTTACCTGATGATCAGTTGTGATTGGCAGGGTCATATTCAACATAAATGTCATTAAAATCATGCATTTTCATTTGATATTTGTTATGTATTAGTTCTTAAGCACATATTGACTGTAGATAGATAATCACTTCATTTTTAAATGACCAAGAAATGTGATTTTTAAATGTTGGCAGTATCTCCAGGGCCCAAAGATGGTGCTCTGAGGACCAGTAGGCTGCGGTCCAATGGTTCGGAGCAGCTGATTTAACTGACCTGGGCTCCATTTCCCAAAAGCATCTCAAGGCTGAGATTATTCTGAAATGTAACGACCTTTCTTAAGTGTATATCTTTCCCAAAAGCATAATTCAAGATGCTCTTTAAACAAATTACAGCTCACACAGTTAAACAGGCCAAAAGTATCTTAAAAAAGCTCAAACCAGCAGGGGGAATCCATTTATCCATTTTATTGTACATTCTGAAGTTTGATGGGGTGTATAATGAGTGATGGTGTTTAAGTCAGAAAGTACACATTGTTCATTGACATGCTACACAAATCTCTAAGACACACATTCAAGTTAAGGACGCCACACATGGTGTTGGCGTTGAATCAACGCTGCTTTAAAGAGTTGACATTTGTACGCAAATCTTTTGGACAGAAACTTCCAAACTTGCATTAAAGCAGGATGGCTTCGATAGGCACAGGCTCCAGTGTCTGCCATAGACTTGTGTACCCAGATTAACTCTGAGAAGCACAAACAGTGAAATGCTCTAGGCTCAAGCAAACAATGTTATCAAGGCAGCGTGCAGTCAGGAGTGTGATGTGATGTCGCATGTCTATCCTGGGCACGTCTCCCTGTAAGGGCACCGGTTTCCTAAAGTGCAGTACTCAATGTTTCACCAGGGTGACTCCTCACTGCCTGGTTTAAACTCTGCATCTCACACACACCTAGACAAAAGAGCCGACTGTCTGGAATTCCTCGAGACCCTAGTCTACTTCGAGAGGACTTACAAGGTGGTGTTTTCCATTTGACTTGGTACAATCTTCACTTTTGCCGAAGCTATTTTCTACCGGTTTGATTACATGGTATGCCACTCCGTGAATGCTCAGATTGGACGTGCAAAGAAAAACACTCGACACAGAATAAGAGATCGCTGATACAAAGCCACATTCAAGCCCAGTAGTAGTGTAAAAACAGGGTGTTAATAAAAAAAGCAACACTTCCACAATGGCTTCCCACTGCATCTTGAAAAGCACCATTGTATTCATGACTCGAGTGTGTGCTCTGCTTAAATTATTTGAGTGATTAAAATATCTCACTGCAAATGACAGACACATTTATTAACCCCAACAGCTCCATGGACACATAGAAAGTATTGAGTGCACTCACAATTAATTTGGCATTGGTTAAGTGCTAAACGGAATAGACTTCAGAAGCCTTAACAGATAAAGATGTATTTGGCTAGTAGCCCTAGTATTTGTTTCGTAGCCCTAAGCCATGGCTACTACGCAATTAAGGGGGGAAGAAGTATATCATTGAGGTGTAAAGGAAATGGCTGTGTGGCAGATGAGACCTTTGATAGACAGGCGCTTCAGAGGGCTGCCTTATTGCTGGTTTCTCTTTCAAAGAGAATAAGACACCACCATGAAAAGGGATGCTTCAAACAGGCTCTGTGTGTCAAAGACGAGAGACAATCTTCCAGAAGTGACAATCACAAGATCACTCAGGGCCTGCACTGTGTCCAGAAACAATCTTTCCACCTATCTCGATTCAAGCCGTCCAATAATGGAGCTTGACTGTACAATGACAACGTCATAAACTACAAAGGGGCTCTGCGCCCGTCTTTGGTTTCTGAGAGGAGTTGCTTCTGACTGCACCCTGCTGCTATTTCATGGCTGGCCTTTTCTGTGTATGTGTGTGTGCGATTAAGGAACTGAGATCTGCCTCATTAACATTCATGTATGCATTTGATGTCAAACAGTCTAAATATTTAAGACACTAGAGGGCAAAAGGGAAGAAATCTGTGCACATTCAGAAGTTGCTATTACTGATTGATTGTCCTCACTGATCTGCTCTGTAGCTTCTGCGTGCACTTGTGTCTGCAGGAGTGATTAGCTGTGGGTGAACATGCTTATGATGGGATGGCTGGTGTGTGAGTACCGCAGGTTCATTTTGGTATCTGTGACAGAGAGAGACATCTCATAAATATGTAAATCTGTTTAGGCATGTGTGTAGACGTCAACGTCACTCTGTGTGCGCTGCTGTGTGCGTCTTTGTGTCTTCGCTCACATCCAAACGATGAAATTCAAATAAAAAAATATCAAGGCGAGAATAACATTTGGATGCTGTTTGGATGACAGGGAAATATTGGCCTGGCAGTGATATGCCTTTTATGCCGTCACTTTGATGGTTAATATGAAAAAGAAACTCCTCTCTTTCTTGTTCTTACTTTCTCACAGTTTCTTGCTTGTTGTCTCGCAAAACACAACTCTATTGAACAAATGCATGAATCAGTAATGAAATCTCAAATCAATGTTTTATATTGGCCTCCTACGGGATCCTAGTCAAACAACACATATACAAAATTGTGATAGGAATACAAAAATAAACAGTCAAACACGTTAACAAATTGGTTCAATGCAGATCTTCCTGTATTTAGAGTAACCATTAACCTGCCGTCAACAGTCAGGTTTTGCAAATACCACCACATTGAGAGTTTCAGAAAACTAATAAGCAAGCAGGCAGGGAAGTTCGATTAATTAACTGTTTGAAAAGGTTAGCCAACAGTGAAAGATAAGCAGTTAAAATAGTCATTCCTATGTTGGCCTAAGACTATTTTTTAAAAGATTGAACTGCATGAAAGACTTTAAACAACTTTTAAATTGCAAAAGAACAAAGGGGGTTGGACGTCTTAAATGCTGTTTGATTATTAAAAACCAGACCCCGTCTTTTCTGTAAATTTGAGGGCGTTTCCAGAAGGCCTCGACTAGATTTCAATAACTTAAACATCTGTAGGCTATAAGCTTTAGGTAGGTGAGTTAGAACATAAGATCTTTCCAAGGTCTCCTTAATATTCAGAAGAAATTGGGTATTGAACCGTGGGATACACGTCTTATGAATTGTAATAATTGATACACAATAATAAGTAAATAGTTAAAACTGTTAGCTACGTAACGGTTTAACGTAGTGGATAAACAGTAAAACAAATGTAAATACTTGGCTGAAATTTTTAAATGTTCACTTCTAGTTCATGCTGGTTAATGACATCCGGTTTATATCCTACGATGAGGAGTAACAACTGATATAACGCAGGTTTTCTGTGTGCCCATTATCAACAAACGTCACTGCTGTTTTTTCCGATGATTCACCATCTGATAATGTGAGGCCAGAGACACACAAAGTAATGCAAGCGTCAAAAGACACAGTGATGCTGTGGAGGAAAAGGACAGTGGGAGGTGGGCGCGGGTAATAGTGTGAGGGAGATGAAAAGCGTGGTCGGTCGAGGCGAGCAATGTGAAGAAAAGGAGGCAGGAAAGAGAAAAGAGCATACGGCTGAGGAGAAAGGGTCTAATGGCTGTTAAAAACCATGTCACCCTTTACATCTACTTTCTTTCTCCTGTGTTCCCAAAGTGGCACCGCTGAACCATAAAATGCTGCAGCGCTCACCTCTCCCCTGCCTTGTGTCTGACACAAATCGGGTTGTGACATTTTGACACCGATCGTCACCCACTGTTTGGTGTGGAGTTCCGGTTATAAAACCTGCTGCCGTCAGCCTCCGTCATGAAGGCTCACTGCAGGGAGGAAGAGGGGAAATACAGTGCCACAAAGAGATTGTTCATGAAAAGCATTGATGGAATTTAAGAGGGATTGAAAAAGGTTGAACTAATTCATTTCAAAGATATTTTTGTATTCTCTGCCTTTGATGCAACCATAAAGGGGGATGGAAGAGGTGATAGAAAAGCGCAATTGATTTGTATGGTTCCATTTTTCAGTACAACATCCTACTGCAGCAAACAAAACCAAAGTATAAACACAATCAATCGGACAATTGCCTCCTGGATTTGTTCTTTCGCCTTCATCTATCGTTAGAAATAACAGTTGCGTCCTTTCTGCTGATTGATCTGGGTTAGGGTAATGTTGTGAATCGAGTGGCCCATGGTGGTGGTGGGGTTATGGTATGGGCAGGCGTATGTTATGGACGACGAACACAGGCCACTCGATTCACAACATTACCCTAACCCTAACCCTCACACCAGATACTGACTGGTTTTCCGACCCCCCCCCGACCCCCCCCAATAAAGCAAAAATGCACGTTTCAGAGTGGCCTTTTATTGTGGCCAGCCTAAGGCACACCTGTGCAATAATCATGCTGTCTAATCAGCATCTTGATATGCCACACCTGTGAGGTGGGATGGATTATCTCGGCAAAGGAGAAGTGCTCACTATCACAGATTCTTTCAGATTTGTGAACAATATTTGAGAGAAATGGTTATTTTGTGTTTATAGAAAATGTTTTAGATCTTTGAGTTCATCGCATGAAAAATGGGAGCAAAAACAAAAGTGTTGCGTTTATATTTTTGTTCAGTGTAGAAATATAGAATAGAAAATATTAAGATACTGTAGTGATCTCTACAATAAAACAGTTTAGTGCAGGACGTCCAAAGATATTAACAGGAGGATGTGCAAAACAGACAAACTAGGC